CACTGAATGGTTGATATCTATCATAGATTCATTTGAGTTGGAAGAGACCCCGAAATGCCATTTAGTCAACCTTCCTGCAATGTGCAAGGACACCCACAGCTCCCTCAGGTGCTCAGAGCCCTGTCTGGCCTGACCTGGGGTGTCTCTGGGGATGGAGCATCCACCACCTCCCTGGACAACGGGTGCCTGTGGTAGTGGGCACTTTCCTTTCATTCACATCCCAGTCTGGCAATCTGTTTCCAGGCTGGTTTGTTTGTTCCAGCCCAGACAAAGTCTGTTGCTCTCTGTTAGCCCCCCAGTTGGCTAGGTTGCTTGCTCAGCAAATAAAGATCATCTTCTTCAACTTTGCCCCATCTGGATTGATTGAGGACTCAAGGCTCATTCTACATCCAAAGCATTTTCAAGAGTTCCTTGTAGAGACCTTTCCTGACAAATAACGTAATAGTTTTTATAGACAAAAGCTGCATAGCCTGATCATCCATCTCCCTGGATGAATGTTCTCAGAGCTTTGCTTTAGGGTCTCCTCTGACTTTTTGTAGAAATGTATCCACCATGTTTGCATACCTTACACCAGAAGAGCACTCCTGGCTCAGCCTGAAGTTTGTTGCTTAAATATCTTTTGGAAACTAGTCTTGTCTTTCCTCAGCAATGATCATTGCTGCCATTATATTGGAACTGGCAGCTTCTCTTTCTACTCTGAACCCAATTTCTGCATATCTGACTCTTCCGTGCATGCTGCAGGATTCCTGAATATTTGATTTGGAACCAAAAACTGCACGGGCAGTTTACATAAAACTGAGGTATTGCATTGCCACAGCCCTTTTCCAGATCTGAATTTTGCCTAAGCTCAGGAACCACTTCAGTCCACAGCTGCTGGAGCTTGGCTCTGTTGGTGGAAGGACAACCTTAAGCCTGGTGTTCAACATCAAAAACAGGGGGCTTGTATATGGCCCTGTTCCTTAACTGTAGCGTGGAGATGAAAGAGGATGTTCATTTCACACATTTGATCTAAATCTTGAGGTGTTCACACACAACACACACCTAAAATGAAGTTTGGCAGGCTCAGGTTGTGGTCCCTGGGTGGAGGAGGTGACTGTAGCAGTTTCCTGAGATGAAACCTTGTCTTCTTTGGCCAGGGCCTTCCCTTGACCTGGTCATCCCCACAGCCCCAGTGCACACAGTCTGAGGTGTATTTGCCTACAGGCTGACAGCCAAACCCCCTGGTGACACCCTGGGATCAAAAAGGGAGACACAGGCAGCTTTTGAGTGCCTTTCTCTTGGGCAGTTGATCCAAGGAGTGTTTGTGGTGTGAACTCTTATCACCCAGAGAGCTTTTTGAAGTGTGGGGCTATAGCTCCCAGTAAGGCCAGTGGGGCTTTACTGGGAGCTGTGGCCGCTCGGTCTCTTTGGTAGGCAGAACTGCTGTGTACTTTGGCACAGGGATGCTCTGCTGGCTGGATATGGTGCCAGTGCCCTAGGCAACCTACAGAGGCCGAAGCTTGGTTTTTATGATGTTAGGCAGAATGCCCCAGAAAGGAGGGCAAATAGTTGTGTTTTTCACTTCAACCAAGGGCAGCAGAAGGCTGCAGAACCCCTCTGAAGTGCAGCTGTGGTGAGTGCTGGATGCTTTGCAGTCCATCTGGAGGACATGGTACACCACACAGCAATGTCAGGGGGCCATGTTCCCTAGGGAGATGAGAGGGTGGCAGTGTGCCCCATACCAAGCAAACAGCAGGACTTCAGGCTGCTGTATAGACAGGGCACTGTCTGGATCTCTGCTCTGCTTACTTTGTCAAGAAATTGCCCTGCTGGGTGTTCACGTGGCTCTTGCAGTGAAGGCAGTGCCCACCTTTTGTACTGGAGGAGCTGAGGCTCTGATTTGGGAATGTTGGGAATGATTTGATTTCACAGACTGCAGCAGGAGGGAGGCTGCTGGGATCTCCCACAAGAGATGCATGGCTGCAGCTCACTGCTTTCCTGGAGCACCATTGCATGGCTGTCTTCCAGGGAGGAAACCCAGGCTCTTCAAAGCCTGGAACACATGGGGCTGATCTGGCGTGGGGTAGCTGCAGGCCTTGTCTCAAACTCCAGGTCAGAGCAGCCCCGGAATAGCAGGCAGCAAGCCTAAAGATTCAGCTCAGCCCACTCCTCTGACCACTAGCTGAATTTGTGATGTGACCTTTAAGCTCTCTCCTCGCAGATGTTTTTTGTTGTGATTTTTTGCGTCTGTTCCATAATAGATGAGAACTTGGAAGAACACAGCAGAGCTCAGCAAGCTGGGGGTGTGGGGGCTCTTGTTTTCCATCCGCTTTCTCAGGTTCCTCCCTCGCCCCCCGATTCCCAAGCTGCTCACCGTGAGGATCTGCCTTCCTTTGTTTAGCCAATTGCGTGACGCTGCCGTGCTCCGGTGTTTGTTCAATCCCTTCCAGCTCCTGATCCCACTGAAATCCCAGGAAGACTTGGACAAAGCGATGGAACAGTTGGAGCTGAGCCCTTCCCTGAAGAGCCTGCGGATCCTTGTGAGCGCTCCAAAGAAAGCGAATGTGAGCTGTTCACCTTCTCTGCTCTTTTGTGTCCAGGCTTAGCTGACTTGTTGTTGAGTTGGAGAGTGGAAATGAGTCTCCTGATGGTTCAGGAGGATCAGGGGGTCTGCCCTGCTCTGGCTCAGCCACTCTGAAATCCTCCCACAGCAGCAGCCTGAAAGCAGTACTCAGCCCCTTCCTGCTCCTCCTGCAACCTGTGATGGGTTAAATACTGTCCTGACCATCCTCAAACAAGGTTAACCCCCGGAGCACCCCCTATGCTTTCCACATAAGGATGCTGTCACCATCCCTCTGCATCCCCTCCTTGTATATGCTGACCATTGCCAAGCTGGGTGGCAGCACGGGGACCGTTCCCTTTGTGTGATGTTGAAGTATTAAAGGCCAGGGAGGACAAACTAGAGAATCTTTCAGTGTCATGCAGGCCTGTCTCTTTTTATTTATTTTTATTTATTTATTTTTCTCTTGAGCTCAGTGGTTTTACAGTTAAGCCTGTTAGCTTGACCTCGCCTGCACGGAGCTCCTTGCCAAAGCACATGTCGTTCTGCCCCAAGCACAGGCTGTAAAACAAGGGATTTGCAGATGTTGCAACTCTCTTTCTTCCTTATATTTCCTAGAAGTACCGGAGAGGCTGAGTGTCTTGAAACTCATAGTACTTGTCCTCATGCTGCTGCTGCTGCTGCTTGCAGCTCCTGGGTCTTCTCTGCTCCTCTTGGGAGGTTCTCAGAAGATGCAGGGACCAGAGTGTCAGGGCAAAACTGAGCCATTGCTTGAGGTTCCCTATGTCCTGTTGTTCCTTTGGCTGCAAGAAAATTGCAGCATTACAAGACAGCTACTAAGAGCAGGGCAGTCCAGGTAGATTTGTGTACAGCTTTGAGGTTGGTCCAGCTTCTTCTGAAGCATGTAAATATTCTTTTGCATGTGAAGAAATGCAGTTTCGAGGTCATAAATAAAACAATCACAAAATCACAGTGCACTTTATCACTTTATGTTAATAAGGCTCTGCCACTACCAAGTCTTACCAATGTAACTCAAGCTGTATTGAAGTTACCAGCGGGATACACGATCCTTGGCTCTCCCTCTTTTCTATACTCCCTGGTTGTCCACTCTGCTCTGTTACAGAGTCACCTCTGCAGTGCTTAGGCTGCCACTGAAGTATAGGGAGCATGGAGGAGAGGCTTTCATTTGGCTTGCAAACTCTGAGGACAAGGATCAGCCTCTGTATTGATCCTGAAATAATGCAGTATCAGAACAGTCTTTTATGTTGTATGTCTGTATCATTATTAACTTGGACTCAGTTTTATTGTTTTAGAGTATTATGCTAACAGATGTAATTTGTTTGTGAACGATTTTTTGATCATTCCAAGTTAAATGCATGTCTGCTTTTTAATGGTTCTTGGACCACACTGGTCACGGGGATCCCAATGCAGGATTTCACACGATGTGTTCACGAGGGGCTTGACTTCTGGCAAGGTCTGATGGTTCCTTTTGTGTGATTCACAGCTCCTCCAGCCAAACAACAGCAAGCAGCATGAAATGAGGATCTCCAGATCCATGGGAGATATCATGGGATCCCTGTACAAGGATTCTGAGAGGACAAGAAAGTATTCAACAGGTAAGTGAAATGCAGTGCTCTGTGGAGTGTGTGTGCTCTTACAGGTAGGGCCACTATTCCCTTTCTTGTCGAAGTCCTGGAGTATTATGGTCTGGTGTCCACCCTGATGTCACCCACCAGTATCTTAGTGCAGTCACTACTTGGCTTGAGGAGGAAACCATGAACTGCACAGGTTGTAGTGAGCAGGGTCATGTCAGGCATGAAAGCTAAGAGGATCTAAGGTATAATATGAGGGGAAAACCTCAAATTTTATGATGAAAACCTGCAGTGAATTGATCTTCATCAAAGTGAACAATGAGGATCTATAGAAAGACAAGGCTATTCCAGACCTTGGTGTCCTTATTCCCTTAACCATCTGCCATACATTTTCTATGTATCCCTCTCCCTTTATTGCTTAGCACAATAATGTAGCACACTGGGCTTGGGTTTCCTATGTCCTGAGGGCCAAAGGTGTATCTCAGTGCCAGTGGTCTGTTCTGGGTGGTGAAGTCTGTGGTTGCTGCTTTTGTGGTTTCTCAGGAGGGCGTGCAGTGTTTTGCACTGGCAGCATTTCAAATGAAGGGAAATATCCCTTTCCATTTGAGGCACTGGGAGCAGATACCTGTTAGCCCTTGTTTGGAAACCATATAGGATCTTATAGAGAACAATGCTTCATGCAGCATCATCTTATTGGGATGTTCCAAGGATGCCTCTTTCTGTTGTACTGTTTTCTACCCTTCATGGCTCTTGAGAGTTTGCCCAGAATCTTCTGAATGAAATGCAGGCACAGTTATATAGCAAAGCACAGACACTCCTCAGAAACTGCTTGGACAAAACATCTCTGGTGCTCTTTTTTTTTTTTTTGTCCCTTGTTTGGCTGTTAATGTAAACCAGCAAAGAGCTGTAGCACAGTGAGCTGTCACTGATGTGTGAACCAGGCGTAATGGGCAGAATTGATCCTGCATATTGCTGTGCTAGTGAGAAGATTGATTCTTAGGATCATAGAATCATAGAATCTATGGCCTGGGCTCACTGGTTTATATGCCAGGCTTTGGTCTTACTATTTACTTCTTACTGTATGTCTTGCTGGCAGTTTGAGCAGGGTTTGTACTGAGCCCTCCACATGGTAGGAGCACATCAGACCTCTCTGGAGCTATGCAGGCTTTATGAAGCTACTGTAGCCCATTGTAGGAACTATTTGCAGTCCTGCAGATTCCATTTTTGACCTCTTGAATCAGAGATGGGTTGGTTATCCAGTAGTTGGGCAGAAACTTCAGTGAGTTGAAAGGGGGGAGGGTGGCTGTCCAGGTGGAGCATAAAGCTGAAGATCTGGCTTTAGACAGGCAGAGATGAGCCTACATTGTGTCCATGGACAGGGGATTTCACTGAGCTTTGTGGGTAGTGAAAAGGCATCCTAAAAGACCGAGGCTCCTGTAGGATTAACTTCTCTTGCAGTTGCAAGCTATGTCCTTGTGTTTGCTTTTGCTGTCATCAGCACAGCTGCTATCAAGAGAAGATCTTAACTCATCTCAGCTTCTCTCTTAAGACGGTGTTTAAAAAGAGATTTAAAGTGATGTTATAGAAAAAGGTGGCTCAGGGTCATGTTCTCAGTGTTTCTGAGATGGCTTATGGTTTTCTGCTGACTCTGCCATGATAGCAGCAGTGAAAGCTCATAAAACTGCATGTTATTGGCACGAGCACATTAGAAGGGGGTAGATGTTCTGTGGAAGATATTTGGCTATTTTTGCTTCAGCTGGACAGAAAATATCTTCGTTCCCTGTCCCTAAAAAACCTTATGCAAAGTCAATATTATTTTTTTCATAAACATTTTCAGTGAAACGCCCCCAACATACACATTTTTTTTATTGGAAGAGGAAAATGTTCCAGTCTCACAGTGACCAGCATCTGAAAATGTTCAGCTGAATGCCAGAAAACTTGGTCTAAAATCTACTGGGGTTCTGAATTTTTGGATATCTGAGGGCAGCTTTCACAACATTATCCACCAATTATTCAAGAGCCCCATTCTGGAATCAATGCTTGATTTGCCAAAGGCTTGATTCTTTATTCCCATGCTGGCAAACCATGACCTCTGGGAAGAGATGATGTAGAGCAAGACATCCTTTTTCTCTTTGTTTTGGGGCATTTGATGGCAGGGATCATAGAATGACTTGGGTCATTCTCAGCAAGGAATGCAGTGCAGAAAACAGCACAAGGGCATTGTAAGGGAAGTAGGCTTTGGTGGTGTATGGGCTGGATGGGTGACTCTGAAAAACGTGAGCATGGTGGCAGTACCTTTGCCATTAAACTCATGGGGCCAGGGCACGACCACTGGCTGGCAGCTGATGTCCTTGACCAGCCCTGGACTGCCCTCCCAGCTGTGCCCAGGTACCAGCTGGGGTAGCATGGGTGGAAATCATGTTGGTTGAATCTCTTCCCTGTTTTGAGAGGAGGAGGAGTCTTCGCCTGTGGGCAGCATGTCAGTTACCTGACATGAGTTAGAAAAATGGACTCTGCCCCCTATAATTTATTACATGTACCCTAAAGTTTGCCTTAAGCTGAGATGTGGGAATTCATCCTCAAAGGCTCAGCATGGAGAGGAGGAAGACTTGGAAGCATCCCACTAAAAAGTAGTGGAGGGAGATTTGATTGATCTGCTCACACCTCCCCATGCCAGCCACAGCTTGTTGGTGAGGAATTTCCTCCAGGTTTCTATCTGCTTATTGTGCCACTGTGTCCTGAGCCCCATGTTCCTACCAGGGCTTGGAAGAACAACACATCTTGGTGTCACGTCCTTCATTTGGCTCTGTGGCAACATCATTCAGGGCTGGGCTCTCTGTGACTGCAGCTGTGAGCACAGGCAGCTGTCAACAAGCCCTACCCAGCCCTTGCTTTTATGGGGCTTCTCTTCTCCATCAGGACTACTGCTTGATGCTGGTCAGTGATGGATGAAGTTTTGGGAAGGATCTGCCAGGGCAGGGAAGGGGTGAGGCCAGGGAACAAGGTGGCTGAAGGAAGCCAAGCCTGGCACAGGGGAGCTGCTTGTACGTGCAGCACCAAGAACTTTGCACATACAGCATGAAAGGCACTTCTTAAATAAAAATAACAGAAAGGAACATGAAAAAAATAAAACAGTAGATGCCAGCAGTGACTGTAAGGCTCCATGCTGGCCTTGTTCACCCTGCCTGGGACATGCTGTGCTCTAACCTCAAATATAGGGCTTTACATTAGTGTGTGAAACATGGAGCAGGAATCCCACTGCAAAGCACCTTGCTGCAAAGGGTAACTGAGGTCAGATGCTCAGCTGCTGCCAATCTGCAGAGTTTCTCTGAGTTCAGGAATTCTGAATAGAGCTGCTAAGATCTGGCCAGCATCTGGCTTACAAGTAATGCCTTGGAGCTTACCCCTTCCCTGCTGGCTCTGGAGCTGCCATGTAATCCTATAGGCTCCAGGAGGACAGTCTAGGAGGTCTTTTCTGTCTGCCTGATGCTCCTGCTGTTTTGTGAGCATTAGTTCAAGGCAAAGACCATTTGTAATGTGTCAGGCTCATCTGAGCTTGGCTGACCATTCCTTTCTCTGTCTCTAGGTGGATAAAGCAGCAGTATCTAATACATCCAGTATGCCTCGTGTTGCCTCACTATGAATTCAGCCTGCTCATTAAAGATCAGAGTTGTCTTCTCTCCCCAGCCACTGCTTTCTGTTTCTGATCCCACTGGCACTGCCAAGAATGCCTGAGGTGTCATTAGTGGGGTCAGACAGGGCCGCCATGTGCTTTGAAAGGGGAAATCAGCTCTTGGCTCTGAGGCTGTGCTCCCATTCCTCTTGGGCAGGTAGGCATGCACAGTGCACACAGGGATGTGCAGCAGCAGCACCCAGTGCTCAGCAATCAGTGTGAAATTGCAGAAAATACTTTGAGCAGCTTTTCCACCTGAACTGCTTGGCTGAAAGGGATCTGCTTCAATCCAACAGTTCCCAGGCATGCAGATGCCTGAGCATTTTGCCTAACTTCCTTGCCTGCTGAGAAGTGATTACTGTCCTATCCCCTCTGCAGTTTTTAGCAGGAAATGTGACACCGGAAGGTTAAACATAACTGACCCAATGACTGGGAGCAGTTGTTCTAGGCAAAAGCTTAATGTGAGATCATGCCAAGTCTTTACACTTGTGATAAATCTCACTCAGCTCTCTGGGTCCAAAGTCAAACAGAGTGTGTTCAGCTCCTTGTTGACCCTGACTTGAAGACCTGGGCTGTGGGTGGGTTGTGGCAGTGAGGGATGGCATCAGTGCACGAGCAGACTCAACCTTGGGAGCAGCAGGAGTAGAATAGCTCAGAAGAGCTAAGGCACAACAGTAACAGCACGTCAGACCAGTGAGAGGCTTTTTGGAGCAAGAGCCCCCCGATGTCTTTATGCAGCACAAATGAGATGATAACACAGTGATTTCTCCAGTGTGCCCAAACTCTTAATGGTTAAGCATTTGTTTATTTATCTTCAAGGGGAGGATGCCATACTTCCCAACTGGTTTTGTTTTTTTGGGCTGGTGGAAAGCCAGCTCATTATGTGCACTGCAGCGCTCAGGAGATTCTCCCTCCTTGATCTTGGCCTTACTTCAGTTGGACTTCGATTCTCTGTGCTCTTATCCTGCAGGAAATCTGCAAAGGAGAAAATAGGAAGGAGAAAAAAAGCATCTCAAGGGCTTTTATTTTTAAAACTTGAGTGAGGAGCCTAGAGGGAGATGTACTGTGGGACAGATATCTCTGTGTTTGGTGGAAATCCAGCAAGCCTGATTGAATGGTCTTTTATATTGGAGTGATGCTGTAAATGTTAGCAGCTCCTGATGCGTATCGGCTTAAGTGAGAGGTTTGTGGTGTTGATTACGGTGATGGATTTATGCCAGAGATCAATCTGGCACAGTAACTGTGCTGCAGAAGAGCAGCAGCAGAGGTGGAAGTGTTGCATTGACTTTTCATTACATGATAGACCCCTTTCCCATACCTTTCCCTTGCAATATGGAGCTTAGCATGGACACCTCATTACCAAATAGTAGTGATGAACCAAAAAGTTTGCAGGAGTGCTGCTGAGGGGGGTAAGAACTGTGGGGCAGGACACGTGCTTTTTAGAAGCCTGTTTAAAAACTAGTTTTTGTGTGAAAGCTCCCATTGCACAGTGCAGACCAGTTAAAGCTCCAGCACAGAGCAGTGCAGACCTCCATCAGCAATTCCTCACACTGAAGTGGTGACAGATTGTAAGGGGACTGCAGAAAGACAAGCAAAGCCAAGCCTGGGCATCTGGGTCAAGCAAAGGCAGCACTTCCCAAGTCCTGCAAAGGCTCAAGGAATTGGTTCGGGTGGATTTGGAGCCTCCAGGGCTACAGGCAGGGGAGGTAACCTGTGTGGCAGGAGTGTCAACCCCATGAGTCTTTCCTCTCCCTTTGGCTCTTTGCTGTTTTTCCTTACTCTTAGGGAGAGAAGATGGATATTTGGGTGCAAATTGTTTTCCATGTATATGAAACATTTGAGTGATGTTGCACAGAGTTCACTCAAGATGGGCAGCCAGGCTTGTTTCCCACATTGCTGAACAAGACAGCATTTGTAGGGAGGAAATGTCCTGAGGTCAAAGATGAGAGGTGGGATTGGGGTTTGGCTTTGACTTTGAGTTTGCCTTCACTGCATAACAGCAAAGCTCTAGGAGCTTTTTTACTTTCTGGTATTGACAAAGCACCCAGACTCAGGGCAGAGCTCTTAGGAGCCAAGGTAGGCTGTAAGCTAAAGGGTGTTGTGTGGCCTTGCAGAAAGAAACTGTCCCAGGTACAAAAGCTTTGTAGATACTCATGAACAGTATTGCCTCTCTAGTTCTTCCATTCTCTTCCAAAAAGTTCAAATTCAGTAGCATCTCTGGAAGATATAAGAATAATGCAGTTGTTTGAGTTCGAAGGGACCTTTAAAGGTCATCTAGTCCAGCTCCCCTGCAGTGAACAGGAACATCTACAGCTCAGTCAGGTCTGTGACCACGGCCTCTGGCAGGACTCAATACAGTGAGTCCTTCTCTTGTTGACTAATGACTTCCCCATCTCCTAGGCTCTCTGCACACTGGCCGGAGCTCTCCACCCCCAGGGAGTGTTCCTGAGGAGCAGCAACAGATTGCTCGCCAGGGTTCCTACACCAGCATCAACAGCGAGGGCGAATTTATCCCCGAGACCATGGACCAAAATGTAAGTGGGGCTCGTGGATTAAATGCATGTGGGTTGAAGTGGGCATATTGCTTTCTGCACTACAAGCATTGTTCTTGCTTCTAAATTGCCTGTGGCCCTCAGGCCAGATTTTTCCTCTGGGCTTAACAGTGCTCCAGAAACGTGATTTCTAGGAACCCTGCAAGCTAGCTGTGGCAATGACTGCAGCACGCTCTGACACTCCAGGTAGCACACATGCAAACCAGCTGCCAGGCCCTCGTGGCCACGGCCTTCCCGGATCCTGGGATGACAAGGGAGTGTGCCAAGCAAATGATTGCCTGCGATTGCAACAGCCTGGGGATGTCAGCAGCTCTCGCTGCTTCCCATGTGCTGTTTCTGCCTGAGCTCTGGCTACAGTCCTTGGCTCTGTCTGAAGTGTCTCTGTATTTTTTTTGTCTCTCTCCTTCCCCCATTTGTTTTTTTTTTTCTTTTCCCTTATTAAGCAGTTTGTATGTCTCAATCCCTCAGTAATAAAAGAGTTGCTAGATTTAATGCAGAGTGATGAGCAGAACCTCTGTCTCAAATCAGTTCCCTCCATAAAGAGGTGAACTTAGAGTGATCATTGACCAGAAAGAGCATGTACCTCCCTCTCCATTTGCATCTCTGCTCAAGCTGTAGCTCCAAAGAACTTAGGATGAGTGGCACCCTGCACTTTGTGGGCTGTCTGGTTGCAAGGTTCAGTTTTGCAGAGCTCTTGGAAAGAGAGCACCAACTTGCAGGAGGGATCTGGAGGGACTTGAGGAAGGCACTCAGCAGGGTTGCTCACTTCATTAGGCTGCTGTGACATCTCCCAAGCTCTTCCCTGGGGGAATGAGTGTCTCCTGCACTCAAGGTGCACTCACTGGCTCTGTTCTTGAGTGTGGGCTGTGCCAGTGTTTCCATGGCAAAGCTGTGTTTTCGACGGTTTATTCTACAGCCATTAATAAAATGAGAAGTCACTCCGGGTGAGTCTTGGCAGCGTCAGAGTGCAGATGTATCTCGTGCTGCTTGCAGCCAAAAGCTGGCTTTCTATTGTTTCCACATGACTTCCAAACACTTTTAGGAGGATTAAGACAAAGTGTGTATGTGCAGGAGGAGGGTCTGCTCAAACCCCCTGGGGTGTAAGTCAGCACAGTTGCGTTGATTGTTAATGGTGCTCCATTAGCTCTGCTCCTGATGAAGGTTCCCAGATGCTCCCCCAGCATTGCGCCATGGGTGGCCCACTGTCTTTTCCTAGAGGTGGATGGATGTGTGCACTGACAAATTAAAGGCAGGAAAAAGGACTTGTTTCTTTCCTTCATTTCTCTCCTCATTGAACAGTCATAGTTTTTCCCATGGATTGCCCTCAGAATGTTCTCGGAGTGCAGCTTTGAAACATACCTGCTGTAAAACCACTTGTAAGAAGATGCTTCCTGTCTTTTGGGGGTGCCTCTGCAGGTGATGTAACTGAGGTCTTCATAGAATCATAGAATCATTAAAGTTGGAAAAGACCTCAAAGATCATCTAATCCAACCATCGACACACCACACCATGTGCCACATCTCTGCAGTTCTGGAACGCCTCCATGGAGCAGTGACTCCATTACCTCCAAGGGCAGGCTGTGCTCAGATTCCTAGTTCTGTTACCAGGCTTTTAAAGAATGCTGGGTCTGTGTCATCACTCAGCATCTCCACTGGGAGAGAGCTGGCAAGGTTGGCAAAGATGGGATGGGGGCAAAGCAGGGACCTTGCTCCTCTCTTTGGCTGCTGCACTCCGAAGGTTTGGGGTAAGATCTTGGGAAGCAAAGGAAAATCAGACTTTCCAGTTGGGACTGCCAAAACAATACGAGTTGTTATGACAACCGCTCAAGGAAGTGTAGCACAGAAACAGCATATGGAAATGAAGAGGCTGCCCTGTACATGGGGAAGGAGGAGTGGCTGGATTCAGGAGCCAGGCAGGGGTAACTCCACGTGGTGCTCAGCCATCCTCTGCTCTGCTTTCCCGGCAACAAGCTGGACCCTGGGCTGGCTCTGCGTGGAAGTGCTCATAGCCCCTAGGTTTACCTCTCAACACAAAACCTCTATTGTTATTAGCCAGCTATAAATAACCCTGTCCAGTACAATGTCTCATCCAGGAAGCAACACAAATGTAGCTTTTGACTCACTGAGCTAGTGAGAGCCAAGCCGGTTCTCCAGCCAACAGCCCTGATGATGCTTCACTTATCACCGGAGGGGGAGGCAGGAGTCCATGGCCACAGTCTTGGCTGTGTGCACAACATCCACTTGGCCTTGGGCACACTGTGTCCTGATTTCATTTTTTTCCTTATGAATACTTCGAGCACTTTGGCTCTCATTGATTTCTTAACATGCTTAGAACATCAGGGTGCTTATTAGCTCTACCTCAGCTTCCCTGCTAGCAAATAGAACAAGGAGAAATGGTTTCAAACTAGAAGAGGGGGAGTTTTAGCCTGATATAAGGAAAAGGTTTTTATTATAAGGGCGGTGAGACACTGGCACAGGTTGCCCAGAGAGGTGGTGGTGCCTCATCCCTGGAGACACTCAAGGTCAGGCTGGATGGGGCTTTGAGCACCTGATGGAGCTGTCCCTATTCATTGCAGGGGACTTGGACCAGATGGCCTTTCCAACTCAAGCGATTCTATCATTCTATCAAAAGCAATTGATGGTAATAATAATAATCCAAGGGAAACATCATAGATGAACTTCTTATGCAAAGAAAGCTTGTTAATCTGCATGTCTTCTCTTGATCAGATGGTGAAAATCAGTTGGTTTCAGTGGAGAAAAGTTGGATCTGCAGATGTTTATTAGTAGTGGAACTTGAAGAGTTGTATTCTCATCTGTTACTTTATTGGTTTTCCCTTTCCCTCCTTATCAGATGCTTGAAGCTTTCATCAGCCCCGATGGGTCGATGTCTGGGAGCTGCCAGTCGCTGGACAGGTCTGTGGACAGGTGAGTTGCATATCACCATGCTCACAGGTGCTTCATTATGATTTAAACTGCAGTAATCTTAGCTGGACAGAGTAGCTGGGGATGGCAGACAGCCTGCCTCTTTTTGCCTCAGCCAGATCCCTCTTTCACCCCTCTGTCTTTCTGCAGTCACTGGGTCAATACTGCGTTATCCTCTCTCTGCCCCTCTCTGGGCATGCTGTCTGCTCTCCATTGACTGCTCATACGTTTGGCAGCCCCTGGGTGCTGCCAGCAGCCACAGATGTATCAGTCAAGGCGCTGAGGACACCAGACGAGCAGTAGCTAAGTTTAGCTCCTCTGCAGGAAGCAACTGGGACACATTGTACTGAGGCAGGCGGCAGTTCAATACTTACTGTGGCTGGTCCAAGCTCACACGTGCACAGCAACTGTACATTCACTGCTGTGCATAGCAGGCTGTATATAAGACACAGTGTCCTTTTGGGAAGCATTACATATATTTTTTTTAATCCACATCAAAGGTTTTCTTTTTTTATTATTTTATTTTCCTCCTTTTTTTTTTTTTGTTTTGTTTTCTTTTATTATTTTTTTTTTTCCATTGCTTTTGCCATGCAGCACCAAGGCTGTGTTCCAGCAGGTCTGGGTTGTGTTGATTTGATTGTGTGGCGTGCTTTGGGTTTGTGACTCTGTGCACTTTGGATCTGTCTCAGCATTAAGGTCCATTTCCTTTTTGTGGCTTTTAATATTTTCCTCTGGTGTATTTGCTCATTGTTACAGATGCATCGAATCTGATTTCTTTGTGTTCCCAGCCTCTATGCCCCAGCTTTGCTTTTTTCATAGACTTTGCTGCAGAACAACAGAAGCACAGCTTGGTTTTAATGCTTTTTTTTTTTTTGTAAACTGAGAGAAGAGCATTAGGCATGTTGGCAAGAGGGTCACGTGTGCATAGCTGTGTTCAGTCATTGGGTCTAGAGAGCTGGAAATTGTGCTGCTAATTGTGTGAGATGGCATTAGCCTCCAGAGGGCAGAGCTAGTCACCAGGCACAGAGACCAGTCTGACACTAAGACAGAACACAGTTAATGCCTACTCCATGAAGCAAAGCTGCTGTGATCACATTTGGCACAGATAGACTTCAGTGCACTTTGCAAAGCAAGTTTCTACTACTGTGTCCATTTATTAAGAGGAAAGAAGGCAGAGTGGGAAAGCAGCCTGTCCAGGTCAGTTCCCTGGTCCTCACAGAATCTGGAATGAAGTGAAGATGACTGAGCTCATATCATAGAGTCATAGAATGCCTTGGGTTGGAAGGGACCTCAAAGACAATCATTCCAACCATGGGCAGGGTTGCCAACCACTAAATCAAGCAGTAGATCAGGTTGCCCAGCATCCTCTCCGTTCCATCCTCATGCAGTGTTTTCCCAATATCATTTGCTTAACATCATTTGAAGAACTTGCCTGGGATCAGTAAGCCTGCTCCCTCCCTCCTGGTGTGCTCAGAGAACGTGTGTGCACAGTGGTGGTGTAGACTTGCTTGCATGAGGAATTTGGGGGATGATGGTACAGAAAAGAGGAGACATGCATGAATCAAACACTACGGAAAAGCGCTCATCCGCAGCAAATAAGCAATGTTGACACAAATGAGTACTTAACATTGAGGCAAGAGAAACGTGCAGCTTTTCTTCTGTGCCATCTGGTGTGTAGGTGTTAGAAAAAGTCTTCAGTCTTGTGAAGACTGAGGATGAGAACTGTTTGGTGGGCAGGGCTGACCAGTCATCAGTGCACCTTGCTGTGTAGCCTGGGCTTTCTGAATGTAATCACTTCTTAATTAATTTCACAGCCTTTCTGATACAACAAAATATATATATTTTTTCCCCATGCAGCCCTCCCTTTACACAAACCCCTGTTCCTGGAAGGAAGAGTCATCCCAAAGACGGTCTTGATTGCATGGGTAAGCATGGTTAGAGGTCTGGGTTTGTTGAAAGCAGGTAGTTAATAAAGAGAGGTGCTACTGCACAAAAAGTAACTAAAAACAATCAAGCAAATCATCTCTGCTGCTTCAGAAATGACCCAGCAATGATTAAACATGAACATTTTGTCAAAGCAGAAGACCCAGAGCATCAGACACAGACAGGGTTCTCCTTGCCATCATTAACTCTTGTTGGCTCTGCAATAGTGGTAGCACTGAAGGACCTTTAAGACTCGTTCAGTTTACAACAACAACTGTTTAAACTGTGTAGTCAAGACCCTAAAATTAGTAGATGTAAGGAAATAAAGCTGTTGCAAGACCAAAGATGAGCTCTGTGTTGGAGGAAGGTGCTTAGTGGGTGTTGCTCTTGGTTTTGGAAACAGCTGAGAAGCTGGAAATAGCCTCTTGGCATCATCTTTTGTTTCTGAAGTTAGGATACATACTTAATAAACAACAAACCAAGGCCCAAACTCTCTTGGGAGTCATACCTCTTCCACTTGGATTCATAAGAGGTAGAATCTGTAACACTGCATTGGGTAACTTGCAAGGATCGTAGATTACTGCTTAATCCCCAGCAAACATCCACCTGGTTAAGTCATGGAAACTGTAACATTGGCACGGCTTTCACTCTTTAGAACGAACAAATGGCAGTCAGTCTCAGCATGTTAACACACTGCTGGCCAAGGGCAGCATTTGGAGGCTGAGCTGTAGAGATGAAGCAGTCTGTCTGCATCGCTGAAGTTTAATACACCCCAGTGGTGTGGGAGGCACTGTGCTTTGAGATGTCACTCGGCGTTGTTGCTCACACGTGGCTCACTGAGAACCTCTTGACCCGTCCTTGCTGCTCTTCTTGCTGACCATATTTCAGCCATTATGTTCTGCTGTCATGGGGAAATAATGCTGCAGGAGGCCGAGGCCAGGCCTGCTCTCCCAGGAGCGGCTGCTGGCCCCAGGCTAAGACAAACAAACCATCAGCACAGGCTGTGTCATTCCAGTCGGATGGAGGAAAAACAGGAGGTTAAAGATGGGGGGAAATGACAGATATTTTCATCTCAAGTTATTCAGTGCTACCAGCAGTGGCTTCCCATGATGCTTTTATTTAATTAAAATTAAAAAATACATTTTTATCTTGTGCGTCCATCCATCTCTTATAGTCTCATGTCTAATCTATACTGCAATGCTATTTTACTTTCTATATGTACTAAAGCCCCAGTAAGGATGAAAGCTTGGAGGGTATAAATTGATCTCCATCTTTGAGTCACATCTGAGAAGAAATACCAGGCAGGGATACCTGCCCGAATGCTGGATACCTGCATTTCTCTATAAGCAGCTGATAACAGAGCAGTGGTTTTGGTGTTGGATCTGACCCTATCTGGAAGTTCTGTTTCCATGCTCATTTTTATGTTTTCCATGTGCAAATAAGACGTTTAACACTCTGTCTTGGAAACCAGGCATGTTCTGTGTTAATCCCCTGCCTCGTATTTGAACAGTGTGGGCCAGAGTCCATACAGTCAGTGGTTAACCTCAGTTCCTTTATGGGGACCAGGAGTGGGGTGTCTGGCCCTTATTTTCCACTCACACCATGTGACTGTGGTCAGATCTCAGTGGGGTTCTCATGGGGAACTCCTGGCTCTGCAAATGAATGTTTTGTTACCTTGTGTATCCCCACAATTCACCATGAAGATCCAAACACTTTTCTGTAAGAAACACTCTGGGCATTTGGTGTGAGCTGATCTAA